GGAGCTGGAGACGTACAGCACGGATCCAAGGGATCAAAACAGCAGGGACCTCACCCTTGCTACGCAAGGGGAAGACCGTGGTGTAACGCGAGTAGTCGTCAACAACCTGCAGAAAGTACCGCTCGCGGGCCAGTCCAGTGACGCGGGCTAGGCCCCACACGTCCATGTGGAGAGTCTGCAGGGGAGCAGTCGTCGGGGGAAACGAGGAGGAGTGAGGAGCGGCACGCTGCCGCCCCTCGACGCAAGGAACGCAGGGCGGGGCAGGCGAGGGTGGGAGGGAAGGAAGAGACCTGGGAAGACCAGAAACAAGGAGGCGGGAGTGCATGCCACGAAGGCGTGGCAGGGAGGGGTGACCAAGGCGGTGGTGCCAAAGGAGAGTCTGGTGCGACAGGTGACGACACTCGCAGGGGGGAGCTACCTGACCTGACGCGGCCACCTGACCAGACGCAGCAACCTGAGGAGGCTCAGTAGTCAGTGTGTACAGGCTCGACCCAGGCTGACGGGTGAACGTGGCCAGGTGCCGGCCCGTCCGGGAGCACGTACAGATCGCCACACGCTGGCCTCCAGGGGTAAAGGTATCAACCCACTCATCCTGAAGAGCTGGGGTACTCACCAGGTTCGTCGAGAACAAGGGGAGGTGGAGACCTGAAAGCGTGCCAGACGGAACCGCCGGACACGGGAGAACAGTGGAGGAACGTGCAAGAACTGGGCCCCCAGAGGGGTCAGCCAGTGAGACTGCAACGGGTCTAGGGAGTGGTGTGACTGTGGTACTGTCGCGAAAGAAGCAGCGAGAAGCACCTGAGTCAAGCGTGAAGGTGTGCAAGGCCTCAGCAGGCGCAGTACCAGAGAGAGCAAACTCACTAGCACCTAGAGCAGCAGCCCCTATACCAGGGTCGGGCAACACACACAGGTAACAGTCACCCTCAGTCAAAGCATACATGGCAGTGAGGATAGCGTCATAGTCTATAGCAAATATATCCACTCTGTCTCGAAGCAGCTCTAGCCAGCAGGGGAGCTCAGCCTCGTCGCCAAACTCCGCGCGCCAAGCGTCGCTCAGACGGGCGAAGCAGCGGGACTGTGTATGGCCAATCGTCCTGCAAGTCTGACCAGCCCGAGCACCTGTGCGAATGACGTACGGGCAGCGAGCAGTACTCCGAGACGTCCCACGTTGAAAAGGCCACTCACGAAGCTGCTGGGACGTAAGGGTCTCGCGCGGACGCCGCTGCAGCTGCATCTGGCCACTGCCAGAAACTCCCCACTGAACAGCTCCACCGCGACTACCACGACCGCCGCCACCACCACTCCCACTGCTGCCACCACCGTCGCCACCACTCCCACCGCTACCACGAAGAGGAGTCACGGTGGGCAAAGCATGGAGGCGGATGACCAGCAGGGCAGCACGGAGGGAAGGCAGGGCGGCGAGCAGGCAGGGCAGGGCGTTGTGCGCGGGCAGGGCAGGGCCGGGTGCGTGGGCAAGGCAGGGCCGGGCGCGCGGGCAGGGCAGGGCCGGGCACGCGGGCAGGGCAGGGCTTTGCCCGCAGGCAGGGCAGGGCCGGGTGCGTGGGCAGGGCAGGGCCGGGCGCGCATGCAGGGCAGGGCCAGGGCGCGCGGGCAGGGCAGGGCCAGGGCGCGCGGGCAGAGCAGGGCCAGGGCGCGCGGGCAGGGCAGGGCCAAGGCGCGCGGGCAGGGCAGGGCCAGGCACGCGGGCAGGGCAGGGCCGAGCGCGCGGGCAGGGCAGGGTCGGGCGTGCGGGCAGGGCTGCAGAGGCAGCGCGAGGGCTGCAGGGGCGGCGCGCGGGGCTGCAGGGGCAGCGCGCGGGCTGCAGGGGCGGCGCACGGGGCTGCAGGGGCAGCGCGCAGGCTGCAAGGGCGGCGCGCGGGTCTGCAGAGGCAGCGGGCAGGCTGCGGGGGCGGCGCGCGGGGCTGCGGGGGCAGCGCGCGGGGCTGCGGGGGCAGCGCGCGGGCTGCAAGGACGGCGCGCGGGGCTGCAGACAGGAGGTGCGCGGGCTGCACGGGGCTGCGCGCACGGGCGGCACAGGGCAGGGCAGGGCGTGGGGTAGCGCGGTAACCGCAGTCGGTCACTAAGCTAATGGTGGGCCCGAAAAAAAAAAAACGGTCCTACGGACCTACTGCTCTAAAACCATGTCAGAATCTAACAGGAAGAATGATTGAAATAGACAGGAATGAGGTATTGATATGGAAAACCTAATTGGGTTGTACCCCTTATGGGCTACCCCACTACAGCCTACACAATATATTTTGACAATCTGAGCACCCTTTGCAAAGGCTCCAGCGCATCTGTATGCATAATTACGAGGTGTGTGATGGTCACACACAAGAATTGACCATTCGAATTGATTGCAAGCCACCACCAGTCCCACTATCCACCTGTGCTTCTCCTCGCCTGCCACCAACACCACTCACGGCTTGGCGCGAAGCAGCTGCATGGCACGATTGGTTTTCCCACATTGTATTAGTCACTTCTGTCGAGATTCAAATCTCCTTCTGACAGGGTCCGTCCCCGACATCACTAGCAAACCTTCCACTGCTACACTACATGCGATCAACCTGAGACAATCCTATAAAGTCATATCATAATGTAACAAAATATACACCTTAAGCAATAACCATGGATGGTTGGTCCATTGATTCACTGTTCGGTGGCTTTTCTAAGGATTGCAGATAATAAAAACTTTCACACAAGCAAAATAAGCAAACACATAAAATGTTGCACACAAAAAATCTAGCAATCTGTCCTAAAGAACAAGAATCACACTTAATTGGACTATGGGCCAACCTAATGTATATTTATTCTTGCACACACACAAAATGGCTTGAGCGAGCCATCAGCCATTTATTACTGACCTCCAAGCAACCGCATGCAATTGCTTGTACCTCTGCTCCGTCAGCCCCCGCCAATCTGCCGTTCCTCCTAGTGTTTCCAACAAGCACCTCCTTGCCCCGTGCCAATCCAACTAGGGCCACTCCTTATTTGCTTGTTGTGAACCAGCCCCTACGTGGTGAGCACAATCAGCTCGCTGAGTTGCACAAAGAGGAAAGATGTAATGGGTTGAACAACAAACAAAGAGAATGTGGATGGCCATGACTTGTTGTATTGTCGAGTGGAGAAATGGGTGATATAGAAGTGCACAGGCAGCATACATGCACGTGGAAGAAGGGAAATACCAAATTGAGCATATTTTGTCTCTCTTACGTGTGCACTTGTTCTTTCTCTTGTCCATCTTGAACCCCTGCTTGCACTGGCACTGCGGCGTTCCTTGCACCATCTTGCACTGGGCATTATCGGGGCAGGCGACCGGACATTTGGCTGCCACATGGAAAAAGGGGGTGTGCAGGAGGTGTGAGGATTGGAGGATGAGCGGGGTTGACCGGGAAGGCATACATGAGAGGCAACGGTTTTGAAATAAGAGTCAGAGATTGTGAGAGAGGGCAACGAGCATAAGATCACTCGAGCTGCGGTAGCTTTCAAGAGAGCAGAACAGAAACGACAGCATGAGTTGTGTCTCTCCCTTACGTGTGCACTTGTTCTTGCTCTTGTCCATCTTGAACCATTGCTTGCACTGGCACTGCGGCGTTCCTTGCACCATCTTGCACTGGGCATTAGCAGGGCAGGCGGCCGGACATTTGGCTGCCACATGAAAAATGGGGGTGTGCGGGAGGTGGGAGGATTGGAGGATGAGCGGGGCTGACAAGCAAGGCATACATGAGAGTAAATGGTTGGAATAGGAGAATAGCAGAAAGAAGAGCACATGTTGCGTCTCTCCCTTACGTGTGCACTTGTTCTTGCTATTGTCCATTTTGAACCCCTGCTTGCACTGGCACTGCGGCGTTCCTTGCACCATCTTGCACTGGGCATTATCGGGGCAGGCGGCCGGACATTTGGCTGCCACATGAAAAATGGGGGTGTGCGGGAGGTGTGAGGATTGGAGGATCAGTGGGGCTGACAAGGAAGGCATACATTTGAGTAAACGGTTGGAATAGGACAAAGGCATAAAGAAGAGCACACGCTATCTCTCTCCCTTACATGTGCACTTGTTCTTGCTCTTGTCCATTTTGAACCCCTGCGTGCACTGGCACTACGGCGTTCCTTGCACCATCATGCACTGGGCATTATCGGGGCAGGCGGCCGGACATTTGGCTGCCACATGAAAAATGGGGGTGTGCGGGAGGTGCGAGGATCAGAGGATGAGTGGGGTTGACAGGGAAGGCATATGTGAGAGTAGACGCTTGGGATAGGAGAAAGGCAGAAAGGAGAGCATACACTGTCTTTTTTCCTTACGTGTGCACTTGTTCTTGCTCTTGTCCATTTTGAACCCCTGCTTGCACTGGCACAGCGCCCTTCCTAGCCACGTCTTGCACTGGGCATTATCGGGGCAGGCAGGTGAACATGCGGCTGCCACATGAAATGGGGAGGGCGAGGGTGTCAGGAAGAATGGAGGATGAGCAGTGTTAGGATTGGCTTGTATGAGAGTGAACGGTTGGAAGGGAACACAGAGTATTGATCATGCATGCAGGTGAGCAGTGGTGGGTGTGGAAGAATAACAACATAAATAGGAGTGAAGCTTCGAAGTACGCATGGCAAAAAGCAACGCATATGCTATATCTCTCCCTTACGTGTGCACTGCCTCGTGCCCTGATCCATTTTGAACCCTGCCTTGCACTGGCACTTCGCGTTCCCTCCCACCACTGTGCACTGGGCCTGAGCAGGGCAAGCAGGCTTGCACATGGCTGGCGTGGGTGAGAGGTGGGCGTTGGGGGAGAGGGGAGAGGGGAGAGGGGAGAGGGGAGAGGGGAGAGAGGAGAGGGGAGATGGGAGAGGGGAGAGGGGAGAGAGGAGAGGGGAAAGGGCTCGAGGGTGTTTGGAAGGAGGAGGAGCAAGTGGATGCCACGCAACACCCACGAGCACTCAAGCTCAGCACGTTGAAACACCATGATCGCATTCAGTGTACCTAATGGCCTTCGACCCCTTGGTGAGCTCACCGGTGCAGAGGCCGTTCGTCTTGGTGTAGCCGCCATTGCACTGGCACATGCCCTGCCCGTTCTTCACAACGCACATGAAGTTCTTGTCACACTTGAGTGTGCCCGTCTTGCAAGAGTTGTCAGCTGCCATGGGTAGAGGAGGGAAGCATTTAGAGAAGAATCAGCCTGCCAGGGCGACAAGAGGCATTTCTCTTTCTGATTGCATGCGAGAGAGGCGGGTGGCCACACAAGACAATTCTTCCACGTGCACTAGGTTGGGACTCCAGAGGCACGTGCACTAGATTATTCTAATCACTCAGCACTAGACCTACCAGGATTGAAAGTCTTTTCGCTGCAGATCTTCTCAGCCTCATTGAACGTGAAGCCCCAGGGGCAATGGCACTGGGGCTGGCCTCCCTCCACCACACACTCAGCAGTTCCGCAGTCCTTGTGACACGTGGCTGTTGTGGGCACGACAAACGGAGGGACAAACAAAAACGCTTTGTTAGGATTGTTGGCAAACGGAGCAAAAAATCCATGAGCTCTCTCACTCTCTCTGCTGGTGGCTTTTTCGGTATGAGAAAGATGCCAAGGGATTATAGCAAGCATAGGTTAACGTGCATTTGCATGTGCATCTTCACTAGTAACGTGCCTTAGAGCTGTGTTGATATCAGTTTTAAGAATTACTCGTGGTAATAACAGAGTTGTGTGCAAGAGTTTCAAAAACGTTACTCAAACTTAGAGACATGTGCTTGCACTTACTGATTTCACAGCCAACTGATTTCGGCAAATCCGTCGCTGTGGCAGTCCTGAGACACAAAAAGCATAGACGAGGGAAAATGTGATGCTTCCACGCCATTCACACTAGCAAGTGGGAAATGGATTTTGTTGATTGGAATGCTTTTTCATCCCTCCTATGCGCTAGAATCACAACAGACAAAGCCGCGCATGACGTGGCATGCAACTCACACACCTGTCTGTGTTGCGGTAGGAGCCACCATTCTTAGCAGGACGGGAAATCGTGAGGCCTGGTTTGCCTGTGCAGCCCGGGTTGCTGAAGAACGAAACGCTTTTGCACATGCCGTTGCCGGCCCCCTGAAGGCCGTAGGATTGCCACTGGATGCTGATCTGGGTGTCACCACGGAGGCTGAAGCTGGAGGTCAGGTCGGTGCAGGCGGTGTCGCCACTTGCTTGCGCTGCTGGCCCGTTGGTGGTGAACTTGACGTTCTCCGGGTAGCTGCGCGGCCGGCCATTCTCCTTCACCTGCAGCTGCAGCTGCACTGTCGTCTGGAGGAGGGGGGCTGATGCCGTATCGTGGCCGTTGAGGGTCGTGTGGTGACGATGGGGGTTTGAAGGCATCGAGTTGGTGGTGGCACAGTGGAAGGAAGAGGGAGGGAGTAGACAGGAGCGGAGATGCGGGGAGTGAAGAGAAGAAAAGAGCAAGTCCGAATTTTGGTGGAATAGCACGATTGTTGAGATAGCACTGAGGCAGCAACGCTGCAAGCTGAAATGTGTGTCTTATTACAAAATGCATCGTCTCCGGTTCCCGACTGCAGCCCTCACCAGTGCAGCGCTCACCAGTGCAGCACTCACCATAGCACTCGGGACTGCCGTCACCCGACACTTGGCAGATATCACCCTTGCGGCTGCAATCCCAGCTAGCACACGGGTCTGTAGAGAAGTAATGGGTTGTTGCAAGGTGAAGAAAGAACGAGGGAGTTGAAAGAAAGGACTCATCACTATATGTGCACTCCATCACTAAATCACCGGAACTGCACCACTCACTGTTGGAAGTGGAAATGCCGAGATGTGTCTCAATATGCTAACACACATAGCTCATGAGCACATGACAGCCGTTGATGTGACGCCGTATTGAAGGTGAGTAGGTACAAAGGGGTTAAAAGAGCGGAAATTTTGCTTATGACGTCACAACCACCCACACTCCGGCCCTCGCCAACATCCCAGCACTTACCCACAACACCATCGCATGTGTAGTCAACATCGTTGAAGGTAGAACCGTCCTTGCACTGGCACACACCGGTGCCAAGTCCATTCACAACGCAGTCAGCATCGGTCCCACAAATCCCGCCGCACTCGTCTGCACAGGAAATCATGGGAATTCCTACAGTAAGGCCCGGTAAGCAGAGATCGCTAATGACGTCACACCCACCCACACTCCGGCCCTCACCAACGTCCCAGCACTTACCCACAACACCATCGCATGTGTAGTTAAACTCGTTGAAGGTAGAACCGTCCTTGCACTTGCACACACTGGTGCCGAGATCATTCACAACGCAGTCAGCATCGGTCCCACAAATGCCGCCGCACTCGTCTGCGCAGGAAATCATGGGTAGTTTCAAGGTAGAGCAGGGATTAGGGGTGAGCAGAGATTTCGCTAATGACGTCACGCCCACCCACACTCCGGCCCTAGCCAGCATCCCAGCACTCACCCACATAGCTGGACAACGGACAAGGGGACCGACAACGACTGAGGCTGAGCGTGAGAAACAAGACGTAGGATTGAGAAAGGGGTGAGAGGATGTGGGTGAGAAGCGAGAGGCCGCGAAGAAAGCGGATGAAATATAAGAGGCGAGGGATGCAAGAGCGAGAAGCATCAGTTGGCCTTTCAGCTGAGACTCACCATCTTGAGCGCTGGCATGCGTCGCCAGAAGGTTCATTGCGACGAGACCAACCACGAAGGCGGCGAGGCCAACACGCAGGGCAGACCAGCGCTGCCCGCGGGGCTTCATGACGGCAGGAGACCGCCCGTAGGGCTTCATGGCGGCAGCAGACGGTAGTCAGCGATCGCAGCGGCGCGATGGCGATTGGGTTCAACGATCTTGCTCCGCGAATCCCGTGAGATCACGTCGTTGGTGGTTGAGAGGAGGTGAGATGGTTCGAAGTTTGATGGGACTCGGTGCGACTCAGGGAGGAGAGGAACAGCAGTGTGAGAACTTGAATGTGACTGGGGACTCCGAGTGTCGTTTTATGCATGTGAGGGAGTGGGTGCCCAGACTGATTTATTGTTATTAGCACAATAATTCAATCTGACTAAAGCGCTGCGGAAGGGGGGGAAGGGGGGGAAGGGACCGTTGCTGCGCCTTCGCCTGGAAACGTGCATTGGGACTAGGGAATTGTGTTGAATAATACCGATGGGCGCAAGGAAGAGCGCGAAAGGAGTTGCGGGCGTAGATCACGGGAGGGGCCAGCGCGGGGCTAGTCAAACGCGTCATTTTATTGGACGAGGCTCCGAGTTTGCAACCGGCGCGATGGGGGCGCAACTTGCGGCGCTGCAATTATAGAAATAGTACCAGTAACGCGCTCGCACACACCAGCGTGACTTGCGGCGCAACATTCATACGATGCTGCTCCGAGTTGGGACAAGGATCGAGTTGAATTATATGAGTAGAGCCACTCGGCCACAATTATATGATCCCTGACTTTGATGGCCACAAGGGAGAGGAACGGAAAAAGAGCATCGGGAGGGCGACGGCGATGACGTAAGGCGCCAGAGCGTGCCATTTTTGGCTGGCCATACGAGGCGGGGTTCATAATCTGCGTTGCGGGAGCAGGCGAATAGGCTTCCAGCTCTACTAGTGCAGTCAGCTCGAAGTTCGAGCTCGCGCACACCACTGGTGTGAACCTGGCAGGTTCCGATAATTGCGGGGACTTGCGCGAGTGATGCTGGACGAATGCATTATTTGCTTGCAGGTAAGCGGCGGGAGTCATGTAGGCTGAAGGTGTTTGCCAGCGCAGGGAGAACGAGGGGGAGATGTGCTACGAACATTTTTTTCCTGTGAGAAGCTCATGGTAGTAGCCAATCGGGGCAAGGAGTTGCGACGTTTTCATTCATTCCCCATCCGTCCTCTCCCCTCACAAACACAAAGTTCCCCACCCCACAAAAGCTGAACGCCCCTAATAACTAGTCGCGAATGTATCGGCGGTGAGACGAATCGAGATGCGATTCGGGTGCAAAATGTCTGACTGGGAAAGTGTTCTCCGTGCTGAGAGGGAAGGGTATTCATGACGCGGGTCAATAGCAGTCGCTCACGTCCCAGTCAGCCAGAGTCCAATACACAGTACCCAGTAACCATCGTGCCCACCAAGTCTGTCATCGCCTGCCTGAGTGCAGCTGTGGGAGGGACTCGCGAAGGGATTCGTGCGGGCAACAAATGCTTCGTCTGCACGTCGCGCACACATGTGACACCTCGCGTCGCCGCCAAAGAAGTGATCAGCGTGATCACAGTTCTGCTTCCGTCATAAGAATTTTGTGATTCTCATTTCAGACAGTTCTCGGTTTCAGATATCGTTCCGGTATGCCGTATGTAACCTCTTCTATTTTCAAATCGTTGAAATCAAAAGAAGGGTCCTCATAGATCGTTCATTTATTAGAGTACCACCCCCGCATAGAAGACACGTGGGACTCTTAAACCAGAGAGTCCTATTTACGGAAAAATACTGTACTAAGAACGAACCTGCTTTATTATAAGCGCAGGTGCGCTTAGATCCGGGGTAGCACGGTATTAATCAGGCACAAGTTCATATATACAGTTGTGTCGAAGAATCTCAAACAGCAAGCACTCACTGCCACTGACTATTTTTCACCGCCAAGAGCACAAGGTTTCAGTAAATGCCTTCAGGCAAGTCAAGGAAAGGATGCGTTCACTGTTGCTGCTGCGCCTCCGTCCCTGCTGCGTAGTGATGACCAGAAGGTGGGGACACATAACAAATGGCACATGGCGCATGCAGGCCTACATGCGAGGAGCTGCGCATGCATTGGGGTGTGGGTTGTGGAGGGAAGGGAGATGGGTGACAGGGGGGATGAATGAAAAGGGATGGGTGGAAGGGTGGATGAATGAAAAGGGATGGGTGGAAGGGGGGATGGATAAAAGGGGATGGGTGGAAGTGGGATGGATGGAAGTGGGACGGATGGAAGTGGGATGGACAGAAGGGTGTTGAGTTCGGATCACATGGAGCAGAGGGGAGACGAGCAACATGCAAGTGTCTGTGAGAAGGAAAGAGGCATAGCAAAGGCATGGGAGGGCATGGGAGGCTGTGGGAGGCTTGGGGTGCCGAGGGACGGCGAGGGGGGTGTGGGGGGGCGAGGGAGGGCGAGGGAGGTCGCGGAAGGGCGTGGGAGGGCGTAGGAGGTCGTGGAAGGGCGTGGGAGGGCGTAGGAGGTCGTGGAAGGGCGTGGGAGGGCGTGGAAGGGTGTGAGGCGATGGTACCTCCGCCGATGGTGGCCTCAGGCATGCGCTCAATGGAGTACTTGCGCTGCGTTATGTACATTATGGGCACTCCTGGCACCTGCGAGGTGGGGGGGGGGATCATGCTTTAGCCGCCTCAAGCATGAAACGATGGAGTACTTGCGATGCGTTATGTACATCATGGGCACTGCAGATTGAGGAAAGGGGGGAAATGACGGGGGTGGAGAGGAGGGGGGGGGGAAAGGGAAGGCCAATGCACAGGTTATGTACACTACGGGCACACTTGGCACCTGCAAGAAAAGGGTTGGAAGGGGAGGACGGGCAGGAAAGAGACTGCCAATGCACATGTTACGCACATGATGTGCGCCGGAGTAGGTGTATGTGCGTGTTCAACTAAATAAGTGTGTATATGTGTGCATGTGGGCGGTGCATTGTGTAGATGTGTGAATGCGGGTGGAGTAGGTGTGTGTGCATGCGGGTGGAATAGGTGTGTGTGAATGCGGATGGAGTAGGTGCATCGCGAAAAAGGCTGATCCAAATTTCAGGGCCCCGTAGGTTTTTCCACCAAAAAGCTCCCAGAAAGTCACGACGTCATACAAAAAGTCCCAGCCGGGATGGTGACGGAAATGTCACATTAACGTACACCGCAAACGTGACAAAAAAGTCACGCTGTTGTAACTTCCCAGTGACTAGAAGCTGTTAGTCGCAAATGCGTCCACGGAATTGGCGGTGAAGTAGATGGCCTGGTTTCGCACGAGAATTACGACAGTGGTTGAAAGCGTTTGAAGGCGGTTTACCTGTGTATTGCTGAATGAGAAAAACAAACCAACTTGAATGCAGTGATCACGAGGCATGCGAAGCAACCCGAACACTAGCGAAACAAATAACAGACGGTGAAACTACTTCGTGACGGTCGTAAAAAACAAAACGAAGATTTTTGCGCTTCGATGCTACACGTCAGACTCGACAGTGGCGTGTGCAAACCAATCAAGGCTACTCTAGGGAAATGTGCGTCGCATCAAGGTTTCGCGAACGTTCCACGTCACACCTTTTAAACCCCCATCTTTCCCAACCTTCCTGAACCGTCTAAGCCGAGCCTCAAGAATCATTTGAGCCAATCGTTGGAGTGCACCTAAACAAAACTTTCACCTTCCCTTATCCTCCCACTATTCACACCGAACCGGACCGTGGATCACCCAAACCCCCATCAACCTTCACTTTCCCATACAAATGCTCCCTGCATCTCACAGTTTGTTCAAACCTTGTTTGTGTGGCCTCCTATTTGTCACACCCATCTAGCACACTCAGCCAACTGTGCTCTACCTTCATGCTCTAGGCTTACACACTACAGCTTACCTCTCCATAGGCGGTGTGTTTATACCTATCGTTGTTCAACCCCCACCACGTGTTTTTTTTCATTAGAGAAGCTACTTGGAACCGCATACCTCATTCTCTCTCTACTCTCCCCATCCGCCCCCCCACTTGCCAACATGCCACTCCCCTCTGGTGCCCCGCGTGGCAGATCACAGCGCTTCAACGCCGCAAGCATAACGATGTTAAACCGCCACCCAGGCAACCGGTGGGGTCAACTGTACTGGTCAGTGCCCAGTGTGTTGCCTGGCTCAAACACCTTCTCTTTAACGCGTGGCAGATGGCCTACGCGACTGCGTAGCCCTTTGTTTCCTATGGTCTCGATTCTCTCTCTTCTTCATATTGCTTTTGTTTATCTCTTTGTGGCAGAACGCAAGGTGCAGTGCGACTGCAGCCAGCACCACCAAGGAGCATGTCATGCTACTTTGTGCAGCATGTTCGAAAAACAGCGACAAAAGTGCAGTGGCGCATATTCCAGTTCGACCGTTCCGTACTTCGCTTTTGTCATTCAGGCAAGCTTTGATGCTGACTGTGCGATTTTGCGACCGACAGAGCATCATGACGTTGGCTTGTGTGTGTGCATGTGGATCTGTCGTGACGTCATCCCTGCTATTTTTGGTGTTAAAACATAGGTACCGTTGCACTAGCCCCTCGAACGCTCCGCCCCATGTTTCCTGAGACTCACGATCTATTGCTATGATTGTCTTGCGGGTTTCATCACTCACATAACTGGTGATGTTTTTGTGTGCAGATTCATCACGTTCCATTTTGTTCTGTATTAGCTTTCTTCTTTTTTGCAGGTTTGACAGTTCCGAACGACCATACTGGCAAGATGTTTTCGTAGCCACGCCACGGTGTTCCGGGCTACACGTTCGTACATTTGCGCAGTTGCTCGCCAATCGTACATCTGCGCAGTGGCTTTAGTTCGTACATCTGCGCAGTGGCTTCAGTTCGTACATCTGCGCAGTGGCTTCAGTTCGTACATCTGCGCAGTGGCTTTAGTTCGCACATCTTTCGGTAGCTTTAGTTCGTACATCTGTGTAGTAACTTGTATGTTGCGCATGTGATGTGACTAAAGGAGCCCATTCGAAATGCCAGCT